AGCTGGCCTCGGCGGCCGGTCGGCGTTGTGGTTCCGGATTCTGCTCGACCGGACCCGGCCAGGGTGGCACTACGATCAAGACTGAGAGCGGATACTCCGATTGCATGCTCGCCCTCGACTACGTCCAGAGCAAGGTAAGCCTCTCTTTTTTTACCGTGTTTCACCTTGCACTCGGATTTCTTAAATCTGTCATGTAAAAGAGCCCTCATGTAAACGAGGCTTTCAATTGTTTCGGGCTGATGTTTATAACGTGTATTTAAATATAGCCTCTGATTGTGTCTGCCAACGTGGAGATTATACTATGTATTGTGTCAATACGAGACAGAAATTTTATAGGCATGTGATGATTCATGTACGTTGACAACACGAAAACCTTTGTAGGTTTAGTTATTAATAAGCGGAATTATGTAAAGTTTCGAAAGCAGAAACTGAAAAGCAAATGTATGACGTGGAAGATATTTCAAAAGCTCGAAGCTTTTAAAATTTAAAAAAATTGGACTTTATTATTTGCATAGATCGTGATTGAAATATTAGAAAAAAAAAATAAGAATCAGTTTTTACACAGGTTTCTTAATACACTTTATTTTAATTTCGAAAGAAATTTAATTACAAATGTATTTTCAACTACAATGATAAAGCACTGAACATTGCGAACAAATTAATCATCTTAAAATTTCACGACTAATTTTATTTAGCGATAAAAATTTTATTCGAGAGTTATAATCGTTAAAAATTGTAGACTGTAGACGTGTAGACGTGGCATTGTAGACGTGGCATTGTAGACGTGGCATTATCAGATATTTATCAATCGCGTTTTCGTGTAAGTAAGTTTTGCTCGTAGAAGTTTTTGAAGGCCGAACCGATGAAGTTAGAATATCAATGTCATTTTAATTCTTCTTGCAAAATAATCATCACGTGGCAATGACAAAGAATAGTTCATCTTGATTATTGTCCCCGCTTTTGATTTTGCTTCCCGGTAGGTTTGTTGCCGATCGTACGGACGCGAGCGGTGCGGTATTTCTCCTTTCTGACATTTATACGACGACGGGTAAACGAGGCAAAATGTTGCCGCCTCTTGTCGAGAATCTTCGGAATGTAAACAAAAATTCTTTCGATCCTACCTGGAAAATTTACACATAAACGAGCCGTACATATGTACGTCACTCTTCACGCGGTAATCCGAACTCTTATTCTAGAAAAGTTGAAGCTAATTCACACGTGTCGTGTTTAATCTACATTGATTTTTGGAATCTACATATTATTTTTGGCAAATTTGGCATAAATGTTAGATATCTCAAACATAACTACGTGATTTTTTTCGCAAAAAAATTTTTTAGGATTTTAGTATTATTTAGACAATTGGATTTTCTAAAAAATGTATTTGTATGGAAACCTTTATAAATTTACATTCGATGACTCGCGCAAATTTTCAAAGCTGAGCTGCGATGTTTAAAGATAGTAATTTTAAAATAGTTTAAAAATTTTTAAATAATAATTAACGTAAATGATACTGTTTGATATTCTTTGATTCGAATTGCGTTATTTACTGTATTATTTATTTGCTGTACTATTATTATATATGCTCGTGTATATTTCATGTTCGCGACAAAGTAACAAATAAGGAAGTTTATATACCGATATTTCATCTGTTTCGAGTTATTAAATTGTCGGAAAGAAGAGAAAAAAAAAGAAGGAAAAAAACCGGGAACGATTGCTCAATATGTATAAACAACTATGCAACTATGATATTGCTTATGAAATCAATGTTAATTGACGTTTATCTGATAGATTAGCTTCGTCCGACGATACGATTTCATATGTAACAATTTGTTGTTAATGACAATTCGTAATTTGCAGAATAATTTGTCGTTAATCGCACATTTTGCGTCATTCGTCTTATAACGAGACAAATATATTATCTGAATGGTCAATTATCCAATATGGTAAATCCTGATCTTTGATATTGTTGTCGGGGAACATAAAAACTTGGAGCGACTTCCTTTTTTTGCGGCCGTTGATTATACTTATAGCCGGTATAATAATAACATCGTAAGATGCTCGTAGATGAAGATTAATACCTGGATAATCGCACGGTGGCAATGAACTTGATATTTCAAAAGAGAATTACTACGTCGCGCTGGTTATACATTTCCTCGTACCATTTTCTCGGAGCGAAAATTCGCAAATATATTCGCACGCGATATCTGAAAACCACAGGTATTTAATATCACCTTCTTATGTGATTTACGTAATCGCGTCTCGTCTTGTCGCTGAATTTTGTAATTATTATCTAATTATCTTAATTAGATTTTTTTTACAT